TGGCACTGTAGCTCAAGTGGTAGAGCACTCGCCTTGAGCTGAAGAGCTGAGGGACAGCGCCCAGGCCCAGAGTTCAAGCCCCACGACCAACAACAACAACAAAAAAACTTTAGGTCTTTTTAAAATGGGTATTGTTTCGGGCTGGGAAGGTGGCTCAGTGGTAGAGCGCTTGCCTTGCATGCATGAGGCTCTGGGTTCCATTCCTCAGCACCACATAAGCCGGAAAAAAGAAAAAATGCCGGGAGTGGCGCTGTGGCTCAAGTGGTAGAGCATTAGCCTTGAGCTGAAGAGCTGAGGGACAGCGCCCAGGTCCAGAGTTCAGGCCCTCGACCGGACCCAAAAAAAAAAAAGAATACACAATAAAATGGGTATTGTTTCTACTGGAGATGGATGATACCTGTAAAAAGATCAACATATTTAATGACACTGAAATGAACATTTAAAAATGGTCATAATGGTAAATTTTATGTTATACATATTTACCATAATAAACTTGAGCCAGATATGATGGTGCACACCTGTAATCCTAGCTACTATAGGGGGAGGGGGAGGTTGAAGAGAAGTAGGTTTTAGTTCAGCCTGGTGTTAAAAGTTGGTGAACCCGGGGCTGGGAAGGTGGCTCAGTGGTAGAGCACTTGCCTTGCATGCTTGAGGCCCTGGGTTCGATTCCTCAGTACCACATAAGCAAAAAGAAAAAAGCCGAAGTGGCGCTGTGGCTCAAGTGGTAGAGCGCTCGCCTTGAGCTGAAGAGCTGAGGGACAGCGCCCAGGCCCAGAGTTCAAGCTCCGCAACCGACAAAAAAAAAAAAAACAACTTAAAGAAAACAGACATTCAGGCAGGCAGATGGAAGAAAAAAGCATTATGCTTTTTTTTCTACTCTGAAGTAAAAATCTTAGTTTAACAAAGAATGAATGTCCAAGCTAGGTGCCAGTGGCTCATGTAATCCTAGTTACGCAGGATCATCTGAAGATCACTATTCAAAGCCAGTCCATGAGACTCTCATCTCTAATTAACCACCATAAAAGCCAGAAGTGGAGCTGTGGCTCAAATGGAAAAGTCTCAGGGATAGCACGTAGGCCCTGAGTTCAAGCCTCAGAACTAGAAAACACACACAAAAAGAAGTGCAGCTAAATGTGGTGTGGTACACACCTGTAATCCCTGGGATACTAGAGAGGTGAGGCAGAAGGATCCCAAGCTCCTGACCAGCATGGGCTACATAATGAGATCTTATCTCAAAAGTAAATTTAAAAAATTAATATTGTACATATTGTAGATATATGAAAGTGGAGAACGACATAACTTGAGGGTACAAGTGTAGTTGGGAAAGATGGAAGAGGTGAACTTGACCAAGATGCACCATACTTATAATAAACTGACTTGTTAAATTGTATAACTAAAGATTATTTTTAAGAATTGTACATATTTGAGTACAATGTAGAAATACTTGCTTTTCCAAAAAGGATGTAAAACTTTATACTGTCATTAGATATAGCCAAAGAAAACAATTCATCTGCCTATGTGTTACTGTGTTATCCTAACAAACTCTTGTGAATGGCTGTAGATAGTTGGCATTTTGCCAGTCCTAGGCCTTGAACTCTGGATCTGGATGCTGTCTCTAAACTCCTTTTGCTCAAGGCTAGCACTCTACTACTTGAGCTACAGCACCACTTCCAGCTTTTTCTGTGATTCATTGGAGGTAAAAGACTTTTCTGCCTGGGTTGACTTCAAATAGCGATCCTCAGATCTCAGCCTCCTGAGTAGCTAGGATTACAGGTCTGAGCCATCAGGGCCCCACCACAATGTTCCCTTTCTGTACCGAGAAGAACCTGGTTTATACTTTTAAAAGCTTTGATATGGTGCAAAAACCATGAAACAAGACTACGTCTTAACAGATGCAAAGTAGTTTAGTAGGTTTGTGTCATTTCACATACTACAAATTTTAATAGGAAACTGAAAGAGCCTTCAGATTTTTCAGAAAAAAACTGATTTTTCTCCAATCAGTTCATTTGTACTTTTGAATTCTTTCTACGTTCCTAGAACTAGTTCAATATCAATACTATAAATGATGATTTGTGCTGGGCCCTGGTGGCTCATGCCTGTAAACAATCCTAGCCACTGAGGAGTCTGAGATCTGAGGATCAAAGTTCAGAGTTGATGGGACTTATTATCTCCAGTTAACCCCAAAAAAGCTAAAGTGGAGCTGTGGCTCAAGGGTAGAGTGCTAGCCTTACAACCTCATTTCTTGAAAACATCTAGTCTTCCTTTTAGGAAGAATATCTGCTTACAATCAAGTGAATTGCATTCTATCATCTACTTCTGCTACCAATCTGCTATTAGTATCTGCCAGCAACATGCAAGTATCCTCTACCATTTTAGTTTTGTGTATGTGCATGTGTGCCCATATTAGGGCTTGAATTCAGGGCCTCTCACTCTAGCTTGGCTTTTTCACTCAAGACTGATGATGCTTCCTCTACCATTTTAGAATGCCTTTCTGTGGGCAGGAGATATGGTTTGAGTGGTAGGGTGCCTATCTGGAAAATCTTTCTCCAGATTTTGCATTTGTTATTTTAAAGTAGGGATACTTCTTGGACTTCTGGGGGGGGGGGAAGCTATCTTTGGATAAATTGCTGTATCACCTAAAGCTGCATTCCTAGATCTTGCATTGTTCTAAGGAGCTCTAGTGTTTTCTGTAGTGGTTTACCTGGAGAACCCAGAAAGATAATTTTCATTTCATCCACCAAATTCATTTGTTTGTAACACTTCCTAATCTTTTTTTTAACCACCATTTGAAGAGCTTTCTCATGTTTTGGTCGGTCGTGGGGCCTGAACTCTGGGCCTGGGTGCTGTCCCTCAGCTCTTCAGGTCAAGGCTAGCATTCTACCACTTGAGACACAGCAGCGCCACTTCCGGCTTTTTCTGCTTATGTGGTGCTGAGGAATCAAACCCAGGGCCTCATGCATGCAAG